AATCATTATGTGAAGAAAATAAATCTTGTAGAAGTTAACAAAGGAAGGATGATGGATGGTATTGAAAATCTAAAATCTAAAATAGTGAACTTTGAGCACCAACTCCTCATAATTGCAAAGGATAACCGATAAGTTGAATATTGTTTCAAAGTATTAGAGGGAATAAGTGTCATATACTAATGTACTACTACTCATATATACTTAATATATTAAATAATAAATACATAAACTATTAAAACATATAAGTAAATTGTGCGGGTTGGGCAATGGTGCGGGTAACCGTATCCAAATTAAACGGGGCGGGTAACGGGGCGGGTAACGGGGCGGGTAGGTATAAACCCATAACCGCCCCATTACCCGTTTACATAAATCGGGTATTCCCCGCCCCGTACCCGTTACCCAGTCAAAGCAGTTTTCCCCATTTTGACCGGTTCGGTTCGGTGCGGGTATCCGTCGGGTCGGGCTAAATTGTCATCCCTACCGGCTACTATTTAGCAACCAAGAGAGGCAGAGAGCAAGCTGACTCAGCAACCAAGAGAGGCGGAGAGTAGGAGCTGGAGGTGACTTTTCTCCGTCAAGCCAAACTTGCTTTTGGGGTGTGACTGTTCAATTGCCTTTTTACATTGACCCCATTTTATTAGATAGTGGTGTCAATTTTTAATTTCAGTGGTGTCAAATTATAAATTACAAAAAAATTATATATACCTATATAAAGATTAAAAAAAGTCCAGTGGTCTCAATTTAGACCAACTTTTACAACGTAGCTCTGTCCCTGCACGAAAATGCCCTTATTTTAAAAAGATGCATTTTGCACTTCTTTCGTCCGAATAAAAATACTGTACTTTATGCACGTGTTATTGTATGACATTTACTGCACTTTATGCCGGCTTTCACTGCACGACATTTTTTTTGTTCTAATTTTAGAATAATTCACTGCACGACATATAATTCACTTCATGCACTTAAGTATGGCACTTCAATATTATTATTTTTCTAATTTTGATAACTTTAGTTTTTACGTTTAATTAAATATAATGCACTCCATGCGAGAGTTATGCCACGCCATTATAAAAATGTTAGGATTTTATAATTCTTTTTTTCCTTATTAGATTTGATAACTGCACTTTATGTCACTGTTAATGATCTACATTATTGTACTTCTTGTCATGATCACTTTATTTATGGTCATATCATCACACTTCTTGTAATAATCACTGCACTTTTTGTGATAGTCACGACATTAAATACAAATTATTCACTACACACCCTCTTCAACCTAGGGTTCATCTTCAACTCGCCTTGACTGAAGAATCTGAATTGTCTAGCGCCGTTCTTTTGGAACATTAATTAGCAACCCTAATTTCATTAAATAGAAGAAGAACCCAAATAACCTTATTCTCAAGCGGCAACGAGCAGGCGCGTGAGTCGGCGGAGGTAATGAGCTCAGAAGGCGACCGTACAGCAAGACGGCCACGCCGGCAGCAAGCACGGGCTGGACGAAGGAGGCGAGCATGCGACTGTGCAGATGGACAAAGGTGGAAAGAAGGCGGCCATACGGAAAGCATGCGGCCGTACAGCTAAACGGCAACATGCGGTGGCAGGGCGGCAGCGACAGTCGGATGTGCGGCAGGATGGCAGCAGCAGGCGACTTTGCGGGGGGCAGTGGGAGGCTTGAGCCTAGGGTTGGAGAAAATGAGTAGGAGGTTAGGGTTTTACATGCATAACCTAAAGAGTATACTTGCCCATAAAAACTAATTATTTAATTAATAATTACGGAATTAATTAAATATTACAACTTTAAATACTCCCTCCGTTCCTTAAAACTTTGCCAACTTTCCTTTTTTTGGATGCCCTACTAACTTTGCCACTTTCCATTATAAGTAAAGAATTTGTGGTTCCAGTTAGTTCTCTCTCATCTGCACAAACTTCAACCACACGGTTTTTATTTTATTAATCTCCGTGCTGGTAAAACTTGGCAAAGTTTTAAGGGACGAAGAGAATATTGTTTTAAGAAAATAACTAGTGAGGTCATAGATTCGGAAAATGTAGAATTTCTGTCATATCTAGGATAATATTCTGATAGATATATAGTTGTTGGGTTAATGGCCCAAATGAAGGATCGGCCCATTCACCCCCTTTTATTCGGACGAACGTCCGACCCAACGGGGCAACCCTCCCCGACGAACGTCTGCATGAAGGCAAGTGGATCAGACCACACGTAATCACAACGGCAACGAACGTCGCCTCTAGAAGCCACAACCACTTGGAGCCAGTCCAATCCGTGTAACAAATCCTTTAAGGGCCAGGATACGAACGACCCATTATCCTCTGTAACATCACCAGGAGCAGGCCCCCATCCCGGCTGGATGTACGTCTCCACAACTTAGGCGGGAAACTCAGATTCTGGCGGGAAGCGCATTTAATGCTGGAGATTTGGTGGTTGGGGCATCAACCACACACAGTCCTCCACGACAACATAGTCAACTGCCCATTGGTAGTATAAATAGCAGCATTTATTTCATTGTAAAGGGTTGACAACTTACTATTCTTAGCACTCTAGCTTATATTTCTCTTACTCGCAGCTCTTCTACTGCATTGTAAGACGAACGGTCGACGAGCCTTAGCAAGCGTATTGTATTAGGGAGTTATTAATTGATTAATAGTACCTAAACTCCTACTTGCTAATTACCATTTCTTGATCCATCTTAATTGCTTGTTGGGCTAGTTTATTCACACATATACACCACTCCACTCGAAACCTTTGGGCTTACGTGTTGGACCCAAAGATTGAAGGAATAAACCTCAACAATAGTAATTGCTCTATATAGGACTAAAAATAACATAAAATGCATAAATAGGACCACTACATTTTTAACCATCCCAAATAGGACTAAACAATTGATTCCTACCAGAAATGCCCCTAAGGGTATTATTTCACAATGAAATGTTATAACTCGATCATAATAAAATCCTTAAAAAATAATAAAAAAATCCATTTTAAAAAAAATGTACAACAAAAAATATATTTTTAAAAATTATTTTTTTAATTTTTTTTAAAATTTAAATATAGTAAAAATCTTTAAAAATATATATAAAAACTATGAATACCTTTCCCACCGCCTCCCAGCACCACCACCTTCGATCAGTAAAAATTCTGCCACATTTCATAAAAAATTCTTTTTTTTTTCGAAAATGCAAAAAAATGGCATTATTACTCTTCATAATGCCAAATTCTCATTGAATCTGCCATTATTATGACATTACTAAAATTGTTGGCAGATTTTTTTTAAAACAAATTAATAAAATAGTAAAAACCCATAACAAATATGGATAACTTCGATCGGTGAAAATTCTGCCAGTGTTTGTAAAAAATGCCGTTGTTTTTTGAAAATGCCAAGAAAATGGCATTATTACTCATTATTATGGCATTACTAAAAATGTTGGCAGATTTTCAACCGGTGATGGGAGCTGGTGGTGGCAGAGGAGGTGGCGTTTTTTGTTTTTACTTTTTTTTTTCTTAATTTTTAATTTTTTTAATAAATATTTTATAAATTTTTTACGGAGTAATATTTTTTGACGTTTTTTAAAGTTTTTTTTATTATTTTTATGATTTTATTATTAATTAAGAAATTTCAAAAGCCTCAAGGGTATATTTGTCCAAATACACATAAATAGTCCTACTAGAGGGAATAAAAAAGTAAAAAACATGTAGTTCTATTTGTGCTTTTGAGTCACTTTTTTTGACCTATTTAGGGAATTAACTCATATTTATACCGCTATTGCTTCACGCACTCACAAAACTACTTGATCTAACTTTACTTGGACAAAATTAACCATTGAAATATATATATTTTGACTAATTTTTAGGTAGTAGTTAGTATTTGCTCGCCTTTGTCTTTGACTGTAGCATTCTCCATCCAGTATTTCCCTTTAAGCATAATTGATCTTTCCATATTATTTGTTGTACATGTTTATGATACTTTGTCGTTTTCTATTTTTTGTGCTATCCCAATTGTTGATAACTTTGTAAGAACAAGATATACCTAAAAATAATTAATATGTTTTGAAAATGATAAAAATTTAAAATTAGTTTTATGAAGCATTAATATTCATTTTATGACATTTACATGACATATACTGATGGATAGTCTACCCGGGGGGTATCTTATCCGAGGGGTTATTGTGGGAATAACTTAGAGAGAAGTCAGAGCAAATAGGAGGAGAGAGAGTCGATTTTATTAAATGAACTCGAGATGTGGAGTTGGGATGTAGATCCTGATTTACAAGGAGAAATGGGCTGCTATTTATAGCAGCAATAAATGCGATGAGAGGACACGTGTCAGTAATCCAACGGCCGAAGGGTCATATCAGCCTGGTGGCACCGGCAGTGGTACGTCAACCGCATTGAATGCGGTTGGCGGATGCGACGTGGCATTAAATGCGGTGGTTGGCTGTCTCTAAAAGGAATCTTCGATGATTGAGCCTGTTCAGCCGAAGGCTCCTTGTTCAGCCGAAGGCTCCTTGTGTAGCCGAGGGCTTCTTATGCAGCCGAGGGCTCCTCGTGTAGCCGAGGGCTCCGTGTGGCAAGGACCCTTGTGTGGCCGAAGGTTTGGTTCAGCCTTGGTCCAGTCGAAGGCTTCTCTGATGCCGAGGGCTTGATAGTGCCGAAGGCTCATGTTTTTCGCCGTTTTCTCCCAGTAGCTTCTTATGCCAGAGAAGGCTATCCTGTGAGTTTTGGAGCCTTCGGCCAAGGTAGCCGAAGGCATCCCAGTGTGTGTTTTGGGCTATGTTGAGGCTTGGGCCGCTGCATTTTGGGCCTGAGTTGTTCCCTGGGCCCAATGAACTTGTGCAGGAGAAGTAGGAGTCTGTGGGCCGGGGGTTCCTGGGCCATATACTCCATCAGGAGTCCCTCACTCCTTTTGTCGAAAGGTACTTGAGGGAAAAGGAGTAGATGTGTTGATTCTTCTGGAGGCTTCATCATTTCGCTGGGTGCCTTTGCTGGAGAACTTGTCTTCTGCTAATTTGCCGAAGGCTTCCCTCAGTCCCTCACATGTCGAGGGTTTTCTGAGGGAAGGTGTTCGTAACCTTCGCATGTTCGCCGAGGGCTCCCTTCAGTCCCTCACATGTCGAGGGCTTTCTGAGGGCAGTATAACACCTGTATGACCGCAGAAGGCTTTCCTCAGTCCCTCACATGTCGAGGGTTTTCTGGGGAAAGCATAGGTGTATTGCCTGCATGTGTTGTGATGAGGGCTGCTTCATTTCCGCAAGTGACTTGGGAAAAAATTTTGATACTCTACCTCTGCCGAAGGGGGTGTTGAAGTATGTACCCGAGGGGTGTATCCCAGTCCCCCACTCCTTTGGGCCGAAGGCTAGTTCGGGCTGAAGGAGTTATGATGTGTTGATACAAACCCGAGGGGTGACAATATTTACAAGCCGGGGGCTGATGCTGCCGCAAGCTCGAAGGCGTTTGGTGGAATTCGTCGTCTGAGGGCTGAGGAGGGCGGTAGCCGGAGGCTATCATTCGAGGGCACTCCAATGCTTCTGAAATATAGCCGTTGCAATATGCCCGTTGGAAGAGGGGTTGGCGTGGCGTGTCCTTATTGGCTGAAGGGAGCGGCGGTCATCCATTGGTCGAAACGGCGGCCTGTAATGATGGGCTTTCGAGTTGAGGCCCAGTTCTCGAGGCCCATCTGCCTATAAATACCCCAAGGCAGAGCTCAGTCCTCCTTGTGCGTTCACAAACTCTAGCGAAGCTCTGCCGAATTTTCTAGAGAGAGAAAATCTTGCCCTCGATCAGACTTTAATCCCAAAGGTCAGTTCTGCCTCCGTTCTTCGTTTCCTTAGTGCTTTGCTCTTCGTTCCTTTAGACGTTGTGTTAGAGATTTTAGGAGCCCTCGGCTAGATCATTAGTAGCCAGCCCTCGGCTAGATCATTAGTAGCCTTCCTCATCCAGAAATCCTTTCCCTTAAAAAAAAAATGTCTTCGCAAACCGATTCCCAAAACATTTCGAGGGAGGCCCCGGTGCAATCTGAAAGCATCTCTGAGGTGGAATCCTCTAGCGAACAGTCCTCGCACATCAACGACTCGCAAGTGGCTGCCGAGGTCCAAAACCGACTCATAACCGAGGCCGAAGCCGAGGAGTTTGAGCAGGTGATAGAAGATGAGGAGATGGCCCTAGCGGTCCAAACTGCCGAGGAGGAGGAGGAGAAGGAGCGGATGAGGGTGACCGTCGCTGTCCCTCCCCCCTCTCGCAATGATGCTGAAGCCGGGAGCTCCAGGCCCCTGGACCCGGAGCCTCTTAGTGTAGCCCCCGGGAAGAGGAAAAAGAAGGTGAAGGCAGCACCTAAGAAGAAACAAGCCGCTGCCGATGCCGGGAGGCCGGTGGGAATACCCGAAGGGCACTCATATCTGAACACTGCTGCCTTAGAGGTGAAGACAAGGGCTACGCATGCGGAGTATATGGCGACACAGTTCTTCGTCGGGCCTTCAGCGCAGGTGGTGGAGCCGGGACCAAATGACACGTTGTTGCACGCTCCCGAAGGCTGCTTCGCTGTCCATATCATGTCGGTGGAGTTGGGCCTCCGGTTCCCTCTTCACTCCTTCGTCCTCCAATACCTTAGATTCATCAAACTGGCCCCCTGCCAGTTGACACCCAACAGCCATTCCTATCTGGCGGGCTTCCTGTCGCTTTGCCGAGAGAGGGGTGTAGAGCCCTCCTTAGAACAATTTTTCTTGTCATTCAACTTATGCCGGGGGGGGTCACTCCAATGCCGGAGGCTTTGCCAACCTGCAACAGGTATCGGAGTTTAGGTTGTTCTCTGAGGTCCCTTCGTCCCACAAGGGATGGAAGGATAAGTTCTGCTACATCCGGATGGAGGAGAACCCGTTTGCTGCCCCCCTCCGCGATAACTTCAAGAGACATCCGAAAGTCGGAAGTGCCGCTCTCGCGAAGAATGGGAAGAAGTTGGCCGAGAAACTGGAGGGGTCCGACAAGTTGAAGACTATCAAGGACGCGACCCTTCCGGATGAACTCCTTAAGCTGGGCTTCCGGCGGTTCCGGCTAATGGGGGAGAGAGACGAACAATACCCGATGGTAGACCGGGTGTACCGGAGCGTTGAAGGTGGTTACCGGGGGCTCGTATTTCTGTACTTAGGAACTTTCGTCTCATTGTCGTATGTAGTCTGATGTTTGTATATTTTCCTCTTTCTTTTGCAGGACCGGATATGGACGCCAAGAATTTTGCTAAGCTGAAGAAACAACTGGCCAAGGAGCCGAAGAAGAAAAAGGAGGGGGGCCCTCGCAGCAGAGGCCCGTGGATCAGTTTTTCCCGAAGGGAGATGGCCCCCAGACTCAGGAGGGGGAGGTGCCGTCGAAAGATGCCGGTGCTGGTGCCGGCACCGGGGCCGAAGTCCTTCGTACCGATGCTGCTAAAAGGAAGGCACCGGGCAAAAGCGTTGAGGCCCCCGGGAAGAAGGCTAAGAATGCTGCCGGAGCGAAGGGGGTGCCGGTGGTTATATCTGAGGGCCATTCCTCTTCCGGTACGCCGACGATGATTGCCGCTTCCAATCCCCCTCCGGGTCAGGGAGCCGAGTTAGCATGGCCTCAGGATCATGTGCAGTTCTCTATCACAAAGGGAACCGCAATTATGCATGGCACCCTCAACCCGAGGGAGTTCTTGACTGGCGCTACTCCCCCGACGGACAAGTCGGTACTGTCCAGGCTGAAGGACGACGCCCTCGGCAGTAAGGTCCTCCAAGCCTCCGTCACTGTAAGGGCTTCCCCTTCTCTTTTCTAAGATGCCTTTTCTGGACTTAGCACATTTTCGATTCTGATGTTTTAACCCTTGCTGTTTGATGGTCTATCTTGCAGGCTGCCCTCGGGCTCGGCGAACTCCTGAAGAGGTTCGAGGGAGCACAGGCTCAGAAGAAGCAGGCGGATGAGGCTTTGGCTGATTCCCGGAGGCAACTTCTGGAGGTCCGGGAAACCCTCCGATTGGAGCAGGAGGCCTTCGATAAAATCCTCCAGGACTCCAAGACGGTGGCCAGGGCCGAGGGGAGGGCCGATGCAGAGAAGGCCACCGCTGCTGCCGCCAAAGCCGCCGCGGAAGCCGCCGAGGCCGCCAGGAGGGAGGCAGTTGCCGAAGCTGCCAAAGAGGCCGTTGAAGCCTTCAAATCCGGGGGGTGGAGAACCGAGGATCACAAGGAGTGGATGGCCTCAGTCCTTCCGGAGACCGTGGAGGAGTGGGTGGCAGGCCCCGGTGCTTTGTGGTTGGCCCGAAAGGGCAAGAGCTACTACGAGGGCGGGGAATACTTTACCCAGGCCAACATTTACAGGAAGCTCTCCCGGCATTATGGCACCGATCTGAAGGACTTCAAGCCAGAAGCTTATGGCCTCCCCCCGCTCCAACCAGACGTCCGGGTCCCTTTGCCTGAGGGCGAAGAGAGGGAGCTGCTCGAAGATTCTGAACTGGCGAAGGAGGCCGAAGATGACGAGGACGAAGGGGCCGGGGACGACGCTGCCTCGAAGGCCAAGGAGGACGTGGCCGAAGAAGCCCACTCGTAGAAATTGTCCAAGTATCATTATTTGTAATAGCTGATAGGTCCCGGCTTCGGCCATATTTTTGTATCGAAACACATTTTTGATTTTTCCTGTTGAATGAATGATTGCCTTCGGGCTTTTTGTATGGATGAATGCCTTTGTCTCTTTCATGTTTGTGTATGCGTGAATAAGCGTTTATGATGTCCTCGGCATCCTTCGTATTTTGATTGTATGATGTTCTCCTTTGTGGACTTTAGAAAAATCTCTGAGTGTGGCCCTTCACAAGCCTTCGGACGTAGTGTAGAATTGCCGGGGGCTTGTTGTTTTGGACTTAGAAATTTTTCTAAGTAAAAAACTTGATCACATCCACCCAAAGCTACGGACTCAGAAAACTTTCTAAGTAAGACTTGATCAGAACCCTTCGGGTGTAGAGTAGGATCACCGGGGGGTTTGTGGTTGTGGACTTAGAAAATTCTCCAAGTAAAACCTGATCAGAGCCCTTCGGATGTAGAGTAGAATCACCGGGGGGTTTGTACTTGTGGACTTCTAAGTGATACTTCCTTGGGGGCCCTCTGCCGCGGGTTTGTAGGCATGGGACTCGATCAGAAGCCTTCGGTTACAGAGTGGGGTTCCTCTCGTCAAGCCGAGGACTCCAATATTGTGGACTTAGCCAAACGTCCACCTTGTTGACAATATATGTTGTGCACCCTTCGGATGCAGAAGCCGAGGTGTTCATGATTGCAGACTTAGTGAAATTCTGAGGTTTGTCTCCCACAGGTCTAGTGAGTAGCCCCCGGTTGATAGCATACAATCAGGACCCCTTAGATGCAATGTAGGATCATCGGGGGGTCGTTGTTGTTTTTTAGACTTAGTCAAATCTCCCCCATATTTTCAATAGGCATTGTTGCGAGCCCTCAGATGAAGGAGTTTGATGAATCTCCTGCCGTTGTAGGTCCTATGAACTTGTCCCCCCGATCCGAGGGCATGCCTTCGAATGTGAGACAGACTAGCTTCATCGTGTAGTAAGCTTTTGAAAAGGGGGAGCCTTCGGCATATCATTTATCGCTTAGTCTCAGCCAAATGTTGGTGAAGTTCTGTTGGCAAGGCCTCTTCGTGGGCTTCCGGGTGAAATCTTGTACTCCGAGGTTTCATGCAGTGAAGCCTTCGGCTACGTAGCCAGATGACTTGTTGTGGCGAGATTTTCTTGTGCCTTTGTGGGAGCCTTCGAGAATGTATATCCGAAGTGTTGAGCCTCCGGGGAGAATAGTATCCGGGGAGTTCCTTCCCCCCTACACGTCTTTTTTCTTTTTTTTTTTTTTTTTTTTTAGATGGTGTAGGAGAGGCATCTAGAAACTTGGTTTCTAGGAAAGGCTTGGCCTATATGGGAGGCAACGGAATAAACCGTTGGCTCCCCCTTCGGGAATGACCTTCCGATATCCCGAAGGGTTTGAGGGTCGTTTCCTCGGCCCGAGACATCGTCTGTTGCCTGCTTCCCCTTGGGAGATAGCACGGAAAGCGCCTCGGTTTTGAAAGTCGTCCCCTCAGCCCGAGACATGGTCTGTTGCCTGCTTCCCCTTGGGGGATAGCGCGGGGAGCGTTTCGTTTGTGGAAGTCGAATCCTGGGCCCGGGACATGGTCCGTTGCCTGCCTCCCCTTGGGGGATGGCGCGGAAAGCGTTCCTGGGAATGGTTTTATTTGTGTGTAGAACACAAATAGCCGGGGGCACTTGGTACCAGCCGGAGCCGAGGGGTATTGCACCCCCCGGTTTTTTTTTTTTCTTTTTTTTTTTTTAGGAGAGTGTGTAAAAGTTTGAGAAAACACTTGGTGTTTTCAAAGAGTGATGGAGGTGACCCATACACTTGGTACTTGGTACCTAAATTGTTGTTCCCCCTCACGAGAGGGAGAGGCCTTGGGCCTATTTTGGTGAGGCGATGAGGGCTTGGCCACTCATTTGTAGGAGAGAAGGGGCCTTGGGCCGTTTGTACAATATGTAGGTGATGAAGGCTTGGCCTTTTGATTATTCTTCAAAAACAGACGGGGCCTTGGGCCATTGATCATTTACACTTGTTGAGGATGAGGGCTTGGCCACTCATTGGTAAAACTTCACTAGGTGGTGCACATTCCAATGTCTAGGAATTTCTGTCCCATTAGGACGTTTTAACTTGTATGTCCCCGGTTTGATGATGGCTGAGATGATGTAGGGGCCTTCAAACTTGGGTGCCATCTTTCCTCCTTCGGTGGGTAAACTGGCCTCCCTTCGCCGGAGGACGTAGTCTCCCACCTGGAATTCCCGGGAGCGGACCTTGGCGTCGATGTATCCTTTGACTTGTCTCCTATAGTTTTCAGCCCTGAGGAAAGCTTGCTCTCGGCGTTCCGAGATGAGATGAAGGTCGAGGGCCATGTTGGCGTCGTTGACCTCGGGCTCATATTGTTCCACCCTTCGGGTCGGAAGGGTCACTTCTATTGGAGCCTTAGCCTCAAAGCCATAGCATAGGGAGAAAGGGGTCTCGCCTGTTGCACGCCGAGGGGTGGTGCGGTAGGCCCATAAGATGTTATGAAGCTCTTCTACCCAGCCTCCCCCTTCGGCTTCCAGCTTTTTCTTCAATCCTTCAAGTAGGGTTCGGTTGGCGTTCTCTACTTGCCCGTTACCTTGGGGGTAGGCAACGGATGAAAAGGTGTGTTTGATGCCCCATGCCTCCAGGAGGGCACAGAAGGGGGCTGCCTCGAATTGAGTCCCGTTGTCAGAGATGATTTGTTGGGGGACGCCAAACCTTGTGAGAATATTCTTGAGAACGAAGTGGCGGCACCGGGCCTCAGTGATGCTGGCGAGGGGCTCAGCCTCTACCCACTTGGTGAAGTAGTCAATGGCCACAATGATATACCGGTTGTTGGAGGTACCCCTCGGCAGAGGGCCTACTAAGTCAATTCCCCATCTGGAGAAGGGTATAACGGTGCTGATGGGAGCATAGTTGACCGCTGGTCTGCCGGGGGCCTTCTGAAAGTGTTGGCAAGCGGTGCACCTTCGGGCTAGATCAGCACAATCCCTAGCCATCGTGGGCCAGAAGTAGCCTTGAACTATGAGCCTTCGGGACATGGAGAAGGGTCCCTGGTGGGCTGAGCAAGTGCCACTGTGCACTTCCTCCATAGCGACTTCGGCTTCATCCTGATGAAGGCACCGAAGGAGGGTGCCGTTGTAAGATCTCTTGTAAAGCTTCCCGTTTTCGAGGGTGTAGCTGGGAGCCCTCAGTTTTGTCAATTTTGCGCGGCCCTCATCCCGGGGCAGTTGCCCTGTGGTGATGAAGGTGATGATGTCGGAGATCCAATCCTCCGGCCTTAGGTTAATGTTCATGACGGGGCTCGCGTGGATGCTTGAGAGACTAAGTTCCTCAATTCTTGCAATTTTGGAGAGGTGCTCGGGGGATTCATCCGAGAGCTTGGATAGAATGTCGGCCTCGGAGTTTTGAGCCCTCGGTATTTGGGTAAGAGAATGTGCCTCAAACACCTTGAGCAACTCCTTAGTCGCTTCTTTGTATTGTTTCATCCTCCCTTCCTTGGCTTCGTATTCCCCGGAAATTTGACCCACAACAAGTTTCGAGTCACACTTAACGTGGACCATCTTGGCCTTCAGATTTGCTGCCAGCCGAAGACCACAGAGGAGGGCTTCGTACTCGGCCTCGTTGTTGGAGACTTTGAAGGAGAAGCGGATGGCATAATAGGCGCGGAAGCCTTCGGGTGTGATCAGAACTACTCCCCCTCCGCATGCTTTGGTGGCCGAGGAGCCATCGGTATAGAGTGTCCACCACTCATCGAGGGGTGCCGAAGGCTCCTCGTCTGTCGCTGATCTTGCGGTGCACTCCGTTACGAAGTCTGCCAGGGCTTGGCCCTTAATGGCCGGCCTCGGACGGATATCTATGTTGTATTGGCTGAGGAAGATGGCCCATTTCACCATTCGAGAGGAACTTGTGGGGCTCCTCATGAGGGCGCCGAGGGGTTGATGTGTGAGCACTTGGACCGGATGAGCTTGAAAGTAGTGGCCAAGCTTCTTGACGGTCCAAACGATGGCTAGCACCGTCTTCTCGACGGGAGAATACCTAAGTTCGGCTTCCCGGAGGGTCTTACTGACGTAGAAGATGGCGTGTTGGACGCCGTCCTCCTCTCGGATTAGCACTGAGCTGATGGCCGAAGGGCTAACACCAAGATATAAGTATAAAGTCTCCCCCGCCTTTGGTTTGGAGAGCACTGGGGGAGAAGAGAGGTACTTGTTAAGTTCGTCGAAGGCCTCTTGACATTCAGATGTCCATTGGAAGCCCGCTGTCTTTCTCATGATTTGGAAGAAGGGGAGGGCCCTCTCGGCTGACTTAGAGAGGAATCGGTTGAGGGCTGCCAGGCGACCCGTCAACCGCTGAACTTCTTTGACGTTGCGTGGGGGCTCCATGTTGATGATGGCCTGAATTTTCTCGGGATTGGCCTCGATACCCCTTCGGCTTACCATATAGCCCAAGAATTTTCCACCTTGTACGCCGAAGGTGCATTTCTTTGGATTCAACCGGAGGCTGAATTTTTGCATGATGGCGAAGATTTCCTGGAGGTCCTCGGCGTGAGTGCCGGCCTTCTTGCTCTTGACAATCATATCGTCAACATAGGCCTCCATAGTGCGCCCCAAGACAGCTTGAAAGACTCTGGCCACCATTCGGGTGTAGGTGGCGCCTGAATTCTTGAGGCCGAAGGCCATCACAAGGTAGCAGAAGATACCTTCGGGTGTCATGAAGGCGGTTTTTTTAGCGTCTTCCTCATGCATGTAGATTTGATGATATCCGCGGAACGCGTCGAGGAATGACATGATCTCGCATCCCGCGGTCTCATCCACCAGTTGATCAATGTTTGGCAGAGGGAAGGGGTCCATAGGGCACGCCTTATTCAGATCTGTGTAGTCCACGCACATGCGGAAGGTAGGAGGCTTCTGTGCGAGGACTACGTTTGCCAACCAAGAAGGGTATTTCACCTCCTTAATGTGTTTGATGGAGAGGAGCATAGATACCTCCTTCTTCACGAATTCCCGTCTCTCGGCCGAGAGGGGTCTTCTCCGCTGTTGCACTGGTTTGGCCGAAGGGTCCACCGCTAGGCGGTGGGTGATAACCCTTCGGTCAATTCCTGGCATG